TTTACAATTATCACTTGAGTAGCTGCATAGCAGCCATCAAATGAAGGACCTCTGTGTAGCATCTTATTGCTATATATTTAGGTTTGCCTTCAAGATTATGAACCAAATCACTTTTTTTCTCCTCTCTCTTTTTCTTTTTTTAAAGATTTTATTTATTTGTTTGACAGAGAGAGACACAGCGAGAGAAGAAACACAAGCCGGGGGAGTGAGAGAGGGAGAAGCAGGCTTCCCGCCAAGCAGGGAGCCCAATGCTGGGCTCAATCCCAGGACCCTGGGATCATGACCTGAGCCGGAGGCAGATTCTCAATGACTGAGCCACCCAGGCACCCTTTTTTCCTTTTTAGAAGATTTCATTTATTTATTTGAGAGAGAAAGAGAAAGCAGGAGCAGGGAGAGGGACAAAGAGGGGAAGAAGCAGACTCCCTGCTGAGCAAAGAGCAGGACCTGGGGCTCAAGGCGGGGCTCCATCCCAGGACCTAGAGATCATGACCTGAGCTGAAGGCAGACACTTAACCCAGTGAACCACCCAGGCACCTGTGAACCAAATCACTTTTACGAAGGTTACCTTAACACACACAGACTCACACACAAAGACAATGGCCATATATCTATTTATACTCACAGATAATCACTCACAAAAGACAATAGTATCTAGGGGCACCTGGGTGGTTCAGTCAGTTAAACATTGGACTCCTGCTTGACTTTGGCTCATGTCGTCATGTCAGGGTCACGAGATTGAGCCCTGTATCTGGTGCCAAGTCTGCCTGAGATTCTCTCCTTTCTCCCTCTGCCCCTACCACTCAGTCTCTCTCTCTCTCTCTCTCTCTCTCTCTCTCTCCAAAATAAAACTTTTTTTAAAAAGGCAATAGTAACTAGATATCTCATTTTCTTCTTTCAAAAAAAGAAGTCTTCAGACTAGTAGAGTCCGATAATGCTTCAAATCAAAGTATTTTATATCTGCTTTATCCTGAAAAGCAGATTGAGCTCAAAATTTACAATCCAGCCAGGAAATACATAAAATCTGGTATTGCTAATGTTTCTGAGAATCCGCTACACAGAATCAAGATGCAGCGTTTTTTTAAAAGAGACAGTTTCCAGCCAACTTTTTAATTAACATTCACTTCAAACGCCAGATGGACGTCAAAGAGTACAGCCTGTAAACAACTGTCCCACAAGTCTGCTACCTCTTTGAATCAGGAGACTGCAAAGGGTACATGTCTACGAACAGCTTAGCATGACGACATGACGAAAAGTCAGATCGAGGAGTCATTCCTTCTGGTGAAACCTCCAATATTAGAGCATTATCACCACTTATTGTACCTGTTTTGCCCATCAGTCATCAGTGACCTGTGACTGAGTTCCACTCGGCTGCTTGTAATGGAGAGTAGTTAGCACAGCATCAAGTTGTCCCATCTGCCATGCCAACCAGTGACTGGAAAGTGATTTTCCCTTCCTAGTCAGGAAGCTCTAAATTACTGCAGGGTATTGGGGGGCGGGGGGATCAACTGCATGTTAATTCTTTCTGTAGAAACATAAAAAATAACCTAGCTCACATGCAGTTAATAATCATATTCTGGTGAACTAGGTTATATTATCCCACACCAGTCAAACAAAAAACAGTGGTGCCATTTCCTAGAATGACACAAAAAGGTACCATAGATTGGCATGCCTTCTTCTTGATCCTACACCTGGCAGAATTAAGTCACAGATGGTGGACTCAGTCTACCTAATCATCCACCACTGTACATTCTAGATGGGTTCCGACATCCTCCCATGGTTTTCCCAAGTATGACAAAGGGTCTTCAGCATCCAAATCACCTTGACTGCTCATCAGAAATGCATATTCCTGGGTGGCTCAGTCATTAAGCATCTGCCTTCAGCTCAGGTCATGATCCCAGGGTCCTGGGATGGAGTCCCACATCGGGCTCCCTGCTCTGTGGGAAGCCTGCTGCTTCTCCCTTCTCCCTCTCCCACTGCCCCTGCTTGTGTTCCCTCTCTCGCTGTCTCTCTCTCTGTGTCAAATAAATAAACAAATAATCTTTAAAAAAAAAAAAAAAGAAAGAAAGAAATGCACATTCCTGAGACAGATCTAAAGATTACTTAATCAGGGCTTCTGAAGGCTACAGCCTAGGTATCTGCATTTTAAGAAGTTCCTAGGTGCTTATTATGAGAACAAACTCTCTGGGCTGATTTAGGTATTCCAATCCTCCAAACGACTCTATTACTAATTCACAGTTTCATACAATTGGGGCCCAGGCATCATCTTTCTCACTCTCAGACATTTGAGCCACTGGTGAGTCCACACCTTACCTTAGCTTACCTGAAATCCCCCCAGCACCCCTTCAAACAGGCTTAGACCAAGTCTCTACTTGAAGGCACCGACTCATTTCTCTCAATGCAACTAGATACATAACTCTGGCTTCCAGTTTATTTCTTGATGGAGGGATCTCACTATAAATTTTCTTTCCTTTTGTTCTAGTTGTTTTTTGTAAAGAAAAAAAAAAAACCTCTGGATATCTCTAAATCCTAAGATATGGGAAACTATGTGCATTGGACCAAACATAATTCCTTTCCTCTTTCCTTTAAGACTAGTCTTTAAGCTACAAAAAAGGGGATGGATCATCAGAGAGCACATATATTTCTCCCTGTTTATATAATTAAAGAACTAGAGCAAAATGAGTTGTGACATGAGATTGTACACTGCCTTCTAATGTTGTTATGTGAATTAAATGAGAAAACTAATACATAAAATGCTTAGCTCAGCATCCAAGAGAGAGTGAATGTTCAATGAATCCTAGCTGTTATCAGACCAGGTTATTTTGATACATGCTCGGAGCTGGAAAAGTTCTCTGAATCAATCTATTCAAAAACTGCTTTTCTACAGATAAGGAAACCAAAGCTCTGGGAGTTAAGAGTCTTACCCAACACTATATAGTACTGCCAGAGCCATAACAGACACCGGTGTTTTCTAAAGCATAATTCCATATTCTTTTCACTACTCCATGATAGCTTTGTTTACCCTCCTCAGTGAGATGTAGGACCAAGGCCAGAAAGCCGTAAGTATGTTCAGAACATGCCAGTCATTTCAAAGGAATGGATCATGCCTAATCAGAATGTGAGTAAATGAAAGGATGGGAAGCTCTGGTTATCAAGACTGGGTCTGTGAAAGTAATTAATTATTACATAGCCAGACAATCATTTTCCTGTTCTGGAGGGGGGTGGTGACATTTATCTCCCATCTTGGGTGGTTTCTTTTGTTTCTCTTGTGTTCAATCCCTTTGCCCCAGGAAGTACTGCACATACAAGGAGTATGCAGTGTTTGGGATTCTGTCTGGTGAGAATTAGCTATGAACATAAAAACATCACAAAGAGTCTGTGCTGCTGTTAGATTTACCTTTCTATTCAACACAAGGGAGAAAACAAAGAACAACCTACTCTCCTTGTTTGGAATATAAAGTTGAAGGAGTTATGTGTCAGAAAGAGAGCAATTTATGACTATAGGGTTTTACCTTTGAATTCCATTTTTCTTCAGTATAGCTGCATATATATATATATATATATATATATATATATATACCCTAACATACATTTAAAAATAAGAAGCACCTTATAATAACAGGAAAGTGAAAAAAATTCCAATGTTCGCTGAACATGATATTTTACAACAGATAATCTCTTACAGTAAATAATGAGACAATGCTAGGGCTCTTTGCCTGATATCACCTCAATTTTTTTTATAGCCACATTGGCATTCTGTCCATGAAACATGAGTATAGCAATGACTTCATTCTCCAGACTGAAGGATAATTGATCTTAACCTTCCTATCACTTTCCTTTAACTCAAAGCTAATGCAATTCAGATAAATAAAAATGTCTGTAGGGAAAAAATAGCACTATGAAAGCCAACCTCCAAATTACCTCCAAAAAGTACAACATATTTCAGAATCCCAATTCACAAAACCCCTGCCCCATAGCTTAGATGGAGAGCTGCCAACAAGATGTTTGAAGGAAAATTCAAACTTTGAAGGACATAAAGTTCTTCTTCCCAGCTATGAAAAAAGGGGTGTGGGGGGAGCCCTAATGTTAAACAAAACCCCAGTGACTAAAAGTGAAGCACTGTTCAAAGGCAGATCACTTACTTACATTAAACCTATTATGTTTTCATTGTACCATAAAACCAAAACATGTTACCAACTTTATCTCTTGATGTCACCAACTAATCCCAATTGCCCACAAAGAACATATACAGCTAAAAAAATGCATCCTTGAGAAGTACATCTGAACATATCAAGTTGCTTCTTCCCTAAGATAAATTACTCTTTTCCTTTCTTTTCTCTTCACTCACTAATAATATTTACCAAATTGTGCCCCAGAACGTGAACATCATTTTGACAAGTTGTATTCTGATCAGGAAATTTTGCCATACTTTTTCAAACATAGGTCAATGGTGAGAGTGAAGGCAAAAAATGTATCACATTGTTCCAAATCAGGGTCTATCGGGAGGAGGTAAGGTTATTGGTTGTCATATTAGATTTAATATAGTATTTCCCCTTCCATAACAAGTAATTAGAAACTTTATCTCCTTTACTTTGCCTCTTTGGTATAAATATGGTAACACCCTCAAGGCAAACTGACCTAAAGAACATGCATCCATCCAACGAACACACATCCACCCGACGAGCACGCGTATACACACATACACACACACAGACACACACAACAGTGGCCAGAGACCATATCCAGGAACCCAGGGCGCAGCACCTTGCACAAAAACTATCCTCACGACAACCTTCCCACACAAAGCACGCGTCGCTCATTTAAAGTCACCTAACAATGTACTTTGCTGGTAACTCGGCGGCAGCCAACCATCACACCCGGCAATACAAACCCGAACCTCCACACTCACACCTCCTCTCCTCGAGGCACACTTAAGGTCCTGGGCTAGCCAGGCTGGCTCCCCGCCAGTCCCGAGCTGCCGCCTCTGCCCCGGGAACACTCACCGTGTCTGCAGTCGCAGTAGCCCCAGTCCACCTTGCCGTGGGCGTGCCCATAGAAGCACCAGGGTCGGCCCGCGCCGTCCGGGCTCCGGCAGAAGTTGTGGCGCTGCCCTCGCAGCTGAGCCCAGCTCGCCGGGGGCGACCGCTCGAGGAAGGGCGGCACCTCTGCCCAGCGCAGACAAGGGGCGCCGAAGTCCGTCACGTTGACCCAGGGCTCGCCGACGGGGCAGTCCCGGTGGTGCGGCCCTGGCGTGCGCCCGGCGTGGAGGGCGTGCAGGCGCTGGGCATGCAGCGCGGGCGGGGGGCGCGGGACGCGCGGGACAGGGGGTGGCGGAGGCGTCCTCTGTGGTCGCTGCTGGGTGGGAAGGTAATAAAGGTGCCGGGGACTTGCCGGGGTCGAATGGCGATAGCGGTGGTGGAGGGGATAAGTGACGACTAGATCAAAGCCGATCACTTCGGGGAGCGCCCCTAAAACCAGAGCCACCACAAAGCAGGCGAGCGTCATGGTTCCAGAGCAGCCGGGTTTGGTCCATGCTCCCCGGCTCCTCCGGTTCTGAAGAGGAGGACAAGACGGGGCGGGGGCGGGGCTGCAGCGTCCCTCGAATCCCCCACTCGAGTCTCCTCCCGCTCCCCCCTGCGCGGACAGCCCTCCCCTCTCCATCTCGCCTCCCGCGGCGCGTTGCGCTTTGCGCGCTGCGTCTCGGCTCCTGTCCATCGGAAGCGGCCGCCCGTGGTGAAATCTTGAGCGCTCCGCGGAGACGGCTGGCAGAGACGACTCGCAAAGAGAAGGCGCGGACTCGGCGGGGAGTGGTGGGGACTGAGCCCCAGGTAGCCAGCGGTGGTACGAGCCCGGCAACTCTGCCCCCTGGCTGCGGGCGCGGAGCGCGCAGTCTCCTGCGGAAGAGCTGGACCTGCGCTCGGCCCCTAGCCGGCTCCCGGCTGTCGCGGTCCAGACCAGACCAGCTGTTGGCACCGCCGCAGCCTCGCTGTGCCCCAGCCACGCTCGAGGGTGCCAGTGCGGGGGAAGCTCTTGGCTGCTCCTTGCCAGGAGGCAACACCATCAGAGCTCCGAGTCTGGCGGCTCCCAAGCTTGGCACTAGTCCCTGCAGCCATCTTTCCACCAGCCACCCCCCGCCCCGTGCCGTGTCTCGTTTTCTTGGTTTTGAAAACTTCAGATGTGTGAATGGATTTAGTTACAGTTGTCCCCTGACAAGTCCCCAGGAGAAGAGTTAACAAAGCACAGGAGGAACGTTGAACACATTTTACTGAAGTGTGAGCTCCTCAAGGACCAGACCACGTTTCATTTAGCTTTATATCCCAATGCTTAACACTGTGCCCAACACTTATTAGGCTCCAATAAACATTTGCTGAAATTAAATTCCTGAACTGACCCAGGGAAAGGAGCCTGAGCCTTTCTACTTCCTGCCTCCCACTTGCCACCGGGTGAGCTGGACAACACCAGTTGTTTGGTTATTACTGGGATTCAGCGAGGCCCTGTTAATACCAAATTTCCTTTCTAACCAGAGAAGACTTCATCCGCCTGGGTCTCCATCCTATCCAAAAAGTCCATCCCTCTAACACCTGCTTCGTTTTTGCAGGGCAACGGACTTGAGTTAAGCTTACATATTTGCCTTTCCAAAGTGAACTCACTGCTGGTAATTTTGAAGCTGCCCTGTTGGCTTGACCTTACCTTAGCAGCACCTTTCAACAGCTCCACTCCCCGTACCCAAAAAAGTTGGCTTCGAATTTTTAAAAATTCACTGGAGTTGGGTATTTTAGGATTTCTCCTTTCAGTGGTTCCTGACCATGCCACTGAAGTTAAACATGGAAAAGGAGAGAGCCTGGGTGGCTCCATGGGTTGAGCCTCTGCCTTTGGCCAAGGTCATGATCTCAGGGTCCTGGGATCAAGTCCTGTGTGGGGCTCTCTGCTTGGCAGGGAGCCTGCTTCCTCCTCTCTCTCTCTCTCTGCCTGCCTCTCTGCCTACTTGTGATTTCTCTCTGTCAAATAAACAAATAAAATCTTTGGAAAAAAAAAAAAAAGCACGGAAAAGGAAGGCCAGAAAGATGGTAATATTTACTTTCTGGTAATCACTTTTAAGTATAAGGGAAGACTACTGTCCCATAATTTAATGTATCCCAAAGAAAACCTGAGCATAACTTAAAGATTTACTGTAAAACTAGGTTTCAACTAGAAACTGATTTAATTCTCTAACCTATCTCAAATAATACATTTTAGTTGAATTTTCGTGAATCGTTGTACTGATTTTCCCCACTCCTATTTAATTAAATATTTGATTTTATTTCAGAATGAATTGGGTAAATATATATATATATATATATATATATATATATATATATATATATTAGGAATCCCAAGGTGCATTTGTCAGATCTTTATTCAAGATGTTTTTGTTCAAGATGCTTGTATGCACTATTTTGGTTGGTTGGTTTGTTTTTACTAATATTTTTCTGCCTCCAAAAGCATAATTAAAAGGGTACTCATGCAAGAGAGGTTGATGTACTTATTTTAGAGTTCTGAATTTTTTATAATATATAAATATATATTTGATATAAATTTTTTATATCAAGAATCTGTGATTATGGGGCGCCTGGGTGGCTCCGTGGGTTAAAGCCTCTGCCTTCGGCTCAGGTCATGATCCCAGGGTCCTGGGATCAAGGCCCGCAATTGGGCTCTCTGCTAAGCGGGAAGCCTGTTTCCTCCTCTCTCTCTCTGCCTGCCTCTCTGCCTACTTATGATCTCTATCTGTCAAATAAATAAATAAAATCTTAAAAAAAAAGAATCTGTGATTATATCAAGAATCTGTGTCATAATAGGTCACAGTTCTAATAGGAGTTGTCCACCTGTTTCTTCACCTTCTGCCCTGGGATCCTGGCTGCCTTGCTCAGATCCTGCTGCCCTCCCTCCCCTGCATGGCTTCCTCCATCAATTGTTCTCACACTTGGTGGGGGTCCACCAGCAAACCTAGTTCCCAACCTAGTATCTTGAAGAGAGGGAAATCACGAGAGAGAAGAGAGCAAATCCAAGGTTTACTTACATTTAACAGATTATAAAGGTGACACAGACAAAGTGGAGTTACCCACAGAAAATTCCACATCTGGATTTAATCATGTAGGTTTTAAATCATCTTTCCTAGAAAATAAAATGGCATTTATATAATTGGACTGTGAGTTTACGGGCCTCAACTTGGGTTTTGTCCTTTATTTTACAGGCAAACTATGACCTCAACAGACCCACCCTTTACATATCTCTTCCCTCCTCTGCTGATACTTTCCTTCCCTCTCTTCTTTAATCCCTCCTTGGGGCTACCAACATGCAGACATTTAGGATATCCAACCTGGATTCATTCCTTGAGATGCATTTCTTTCTCCCATCGCTAGCACATCACAGTGTGTGTTTTGTGGGGAGGAGGGGTGTTTGCAAGGAGAAATTCTCTCCTGCTTGGATTAGGTACTCCGTAGCCGCTAGCCGCAGATCCCTCCTCAGATTCTCATCACCCTCTATCACAGATATCAAAGCCAAAGGAAAGGGGAAGGCAATTCCATCTTGTTATAACTGCAAAAACCTCACTGCTGATTTTTTTATTTTATCTGCCCTGCAATCCCTTCAGCAGCAACAAAGGAGCAAGGAAAAGGAACTGAAAGAAACAAGTATTTGACACCTTGCAGGAATTTCCCCACCACAACACTTAGAAGGCCCCAGGAGGTCCCCATTATACCCCTTGTCAGCTCTGCAACCTCCGGATTCCATCCTGCAACCTCATTGATTTCAGTCCCAAAAGTTCAACTACCCACAGCCTCATGGCCTAAAACCTAGAAAAGTGAAGAGGAATGTCACTGGGCTCATATCAGAGCAGGGGGGCTGTCATGGGGGTAGGGGTGGGTTACATACATATCTGCGTATCTGCATTTCCTAGGACAACTATGTTTTATGTATATAAATAGTTGGTTTTATGGTTGTTTAGGAGAATGATTTTACTTCACATCCATGATGGGTTGAAAAGCGCTTCTGTTGTCCTATTTGGAAATACAACCAATATGCCTATCATTTTTACAGAGTTCCAAAAACCAGTATACAAAATAACTGTTGGCAAAGTTCCACTTGCAATTTGGGTACTGCCTGTATTTGGAGAAGCAAAGAGTTTTTGAACATATGGCATAAAATCAGCATTGACTTGTACAATTCCAAGTGCATATAATTCGTTAAAAGAACACTGAGCACTGCTCTTTCACATAAAAGAGGAAAAAATCAAATCCAATGAAAGCCTGTGTGGGGACCATGGGAGATTTGAGATGATAAGACAGTATCAGGCTGTTAGAATGGGGTAATACAATAAAAGAATAATATTTAGCTAAAAGTTTAAGAAAAGAAGAGGTCCAGAATATACATGATGAATTGCTAAATGAATGGTACAGTGATTCAGAAGTGATTCAGAAGTCTGCTGTCAGCAGGAGGTCTCTGGCAGTGGAGGTGAAGTTTATACCTCTGCCTATGTTGGCCACACTCTTCTCTGCCAGCCCTCAGCTATAAAGATGGCTGAGGACCCATGACGGCAACAGCAGCCCTGTAAGTAACCATACATATGGACTGTTGACCTTATATATAGTGTTCAAGAGCAAAAGAAAACTGCTACTTAAGTCATTTATCTCTATTTTTTAATTGAATTTTATAAAACAGAACAAAATATATTTTTAAATGTTTGATTTTTTTTTTAAAGATTTTATTTTTAGGTCATCTCTACACCCAGCTGGGACTTAAACTCACCACCCTGAGATTACAGATCACATGCTCCACCAACTGATCTAGTCAGGCACCCCCCAATTTTTATTTATTTTAAAAATTTACCTAATGTTGGTGTAATCTCTATATGGAAACTAATTCTACAGATTAACTTTCAGTATTACTCAAATAGTACATACAAATGGATGAGGTATATATATGTAACATATATTATATATATATATCGATATATAGATATAGATATATATATCTTTATATATAAAGATATATATATATATATCTTTAAAAAAAATAGTTCCTTCAGCCTTGGAATCAAACCAATGCTCAGTCTGGCTCTAGCTCTTCCTATGGGATCTTAGAGGAGTTCCCTTACTTCCCTAAGCCAACGGCTTGACAAGTAGATCATGGTATGCATAAGTCTCTGTGTGGAGCAATTGAGATAATTCACGTAAACTGTTGAACACAGAACTCAATAAATGCCAACTATGGAACGGCAGCATATTTTCAGTAACTGCCTTTGAACTCTTAACCACTCAAATTAAGTGACCCCACGAAAACCTTCCTGGAAAAGCAGGAAATGTGTTTAGAGCTCCCCTCCCACCAAGCCTGTGCCTCCTACTGCCCCTCAGTAATTCTCTTGAATCAACGACCATCACAAGGCTGCTCTAGCTCTACTCACCTGAGTGTTTGTCCTCTCTAATGTGTTTGCTTTCTCTTCCCCTCAACAAGTGTGTTCCCCAAAAGCCAATGAAACACTGAGT